CGATTTTCGTTGTGCGCAAGTGACCCCACAATATATCTGAATTAACATGATCCTGCTTCGCAAGCCTTTTATATATCCTAGATTCGTTGAGCCTAGAGAGATCCTTGTTGTTAAAACTTTAATCTCTCTTGGGGAATAAAGCTCATTAGGGATGTCTGGCACTGTAAAATTCAAGACCAAATAAGCATTCTCAATTCACTACAAGTAGTTTAATTGCTAGTACTCGAAATACCGAGCACTAAAATTTGGTTCTGATCCCACTTTTTCTTTATCTGTTTAAGGTAAATTATTGTTACTACTATATTTTAGTAATATATTAAATTATGAAAAGACAATTATCTAATAGGATGTTTCCTTATATTATTATATAAAATCTATTAGGGAAATTTTATTTCTCGGGCTCTTCTTAGTTTTGTAGTGACATAATTTTTCAATAAAAATACTTTTGCCCTTTTTGATCGTATTCCTTTACCTAGCACAGCAAATTCTTGTATTTCTTAAAAGATATCAACAAAATATAGTCAATAAAATTATTAATCCATGTGGTATCAATGAAATAAATTGATCTTTACGATAATCTGTAATTAATATAGGGTTATATTTATTACTTTCTCTATTATTAAGTGCTCTCTGAATCAATATAATAATTATGCCATTATCTTGAAAATCTGATATGAGAAGTAGAAGGTAAACAAAATATATCTTCCAGAAAAGACGAGCTTTAAACAAATTTGGCTTTCAACTAGATTATCCTAAAATCAGTCTAGTTATCGGACAATCGATCTATTCTAAGCTACGATAGATAATTGGATTTTATCGCCTTCAAAATTTTAGGTTACAAGTAGAATCCTGGAAAACAATAAAACAATTTGACATTCTGGACTCTTTCAGCAAACTTTATCTTTGGAATAGATTTTTCTGCCTAATTAAATGACTTGTGTTAATCATAAATGTCGAGCTAGCAAGAACGTTATACTAAAGCCAATCTACAGCTATCCAAGCGGAACCCGCCGTTATCTTATGTCGAAACCGACCTTCGAATATGTATTTGCTTTAGAACTGCTAGAACTCATTGTTATAGCTTTGCCATTCCCAGAACTCACTTAATTCGTTTTTTGTTTTTACAATAAATTTTTATTTAAAGGAAACTTTATTTTTGCTTCATGTTCCTCTACTTTCGGCAAAAATTGTTTTATTATGAATTTTTTAGTTTTTGCATATATTTTGAGTTATAATGGATTAGAGTATTCAACAGCTAAATTTCTTCTTCGTTTTCACGAAACGTTATGTTGTACGACATTAATATTTGCCTTTATTCTGAATAAGCTTTTTAGAGTTCTTTTTGCCTACTTTTATACAAATAAATCCCAAAATAATTCCCATTTATTTCAGTACTTTTTCAATAATTTTTTTGGCATCCTTCACCTGCGAGCCCCTAAGTCCTAAATATCATTTGATACAATATATAGCATAATTCAAAATCTTTACCACAATATTCTCAATATTAACTAGATAATGTTTTTTTTCTTTACCCCAGTTTTGCTATTCTGTGTCTGACAACCCTGAATCTGATGGATTGTCTTTCTCGAGTTCGGAATACGGATTGTCGGCAGGACTTGAGCCAGGTATTCTGACTGGCAGTTCTATATGCTCCGAAATATGTCGGCAAGAAGAGTTGCAGTCTTTCACTAGCGGCATTAGTGCTGGACTGAATAGTGATGGCACCAGCAGTATAATTGGTTGTGCTCATTCCAAAAACGGGGCTAGCAAACCTGCAAATCGCGAACACTGCACATCGTCTGGTAACCAGACCTCATTTTCAGTCTGTCTCTTGAATATGGACCAAGCGCCACCTTTGTTGGCAAGTGGGATATTGGCTGTGCCATCTTTTCAGGCGAAAGTGACAACTAACTTCGCCAACCTTGCTTTAGATTCCTTGAAGGAATCAGTTACCAGAGTGCCGGGAATTTCACAAGCATTATCGACAACTGGAACCATGAAATTAACATCAAGTCTAAAAACGACCGCATCTAAGATAGCCTTCTTGGGGCAAATCGACCCAAATAAATTGGACTTGGGACTGGATTTTGATCAAGAATTTGAGATGGAAGAGGACATTCACGACGAAACGGAAGGACGAGAAGACAATGATGATGATGAAGATGAACCGTATGGAGTAGAAGAGATTGAATTAGGAGATGATTTCGATGAAGATGTAGACGTCAGACTGAGGACGCTTGGTCTTGGCGGGCACGTACAAAGGCAGCATGTGAGTTCCGAACAGAAAATTCAATATTCAGAAAAAGGCAATCATTAATAAATTGACATATGAGTAGCGTTGAAGAAAGTTAATCTTAATGAAGGATTAATTGCTCTAATATTATAAATTTGTAATATTAGCAAGAAGAACTATAGGAACACACCTTTTCCGGAGTCCATAGTATGCATGATAATTTTCAGTCGGACTGTGGACTTAGCACATTCCGAGACATTTCGCCGGCATCGTAGTCGACATCATCAGTGAGCCTTATCACTCAGCAGCCAAACTACAACTCGTCTAAGAGACAAGTGAAGTCAATCCCTTGGCCAACTTTCTGTTGAGATGGTTATGCTATCACTTCTCGTTTTGTCCTGGTCTATCTATCCATTTTCTATCCTCTAGTCTCGACCTCGTCCTATCACAATTTATGACATGTTTGTATTTCACAAGAAATATGCCATTTTGGCGAATGTACTGT